TGGTATGATAAGCTATGGTTATATATAATATACACATATATTATATCATAGTACATGTATGTATTGTCATGCTATAATAAATTTATTTTAAAGCTGTTCTATTAAATTTGAAGTAATAAAATGTAAGTTATTTTTTTCTCATCACAAATTAAAAAGAAAGAAATTGTGTTATAATTGATAACAAGATTGAATTATCATATTTTTTATCAGAAAAAACTTTTTTTATAACTAACAACATTTGTATTTTATTTGTTGAGCTTTATCAAGCAACTTCTTTAATTCCTTTTTATGTTTATTTGTATGAAATTGTTTAAATAAAAATGTTTTACTTTATCTTGAATTAGTGTAACTAGAATGTTATTAGAGTAAATTAGAATGTGCATAGCTATATTCATTGTGAATGCTGTCATGGAAAAACTCTTAGTCTGTACAAGTATTGACATATGTATAAGTGCATTTGTCATGTACAAATCCTTTTCTTTATTTAATTGATTTTTTCTTAATTTATTTATTTACAAAAGTATGGAGTCCTGTACTGTTCTTTAGTATCATTCTACTTTAGAGATCTTGTATTTACAGTAATTTTGGACAGTTAACCCATGAGTTATCTGTGCTTGAAATATAATTTAAAAAGGTGTGGATTATTTAATGAGGTAAGTATATGCCAAATTTAAATCCCAGTCATGAGTTACAGTTGATTCACAATGATCGATCAGTCACTGGTAACCAGCCTGCCAGATGGACAATTGTTTATTCATATGTTTACAATAAATGACACAAAGTAAAAACTGTTTTTACAACTCTAATCTATTTCAATGGATTAAGATTTAATTTTTTAATAAATACTTGCAATTAAGATTAATCTTCAGTCTAATACAAAATACAAGAAACAAAAAAGAATTAAATTTTTTACAATAATTATTTACAACTAAAAATGCTTTAATTTTAATATCAGTATTAAAATTTTTTGTTTGATGTTTTCTGACTTTATTTTTATTATTATTACTGGACAAAGGGAGTTAGTCATAAAATAAAAACAATAAATTGTATTTATTTTTACACTTAATTTACATATTTGATACAGTTCATAAACACTGCAATTGAATTATGGAGGTAGCCAGTGAGTACAGGAGTGAATTTCATGGTATTTTAAAGTGATTTCTCAGTAGCCACTTTCCTGTTAAGACTAAGTATTGTACCATATACATGAGACATTTTCAAATGCTTGTTCATGAAGACTATACAAACACATCCTTGTGTGTGCATAACTGCAATAAGCAGTTGTTTTTGATAATGCATGCTTTGATTGAAAGTTATATACAATTTTACATTTTATACACATATTAGTTTAATTAATGTAAAATGGATTTTCACATTACAAGATTTAAAAATAAAGCAAAAAGTATTCATATTTAATTCAGTTTTGTTAATCATTATTTTAAATTAAATTTAACAATTTTATTTTATTAAAAAATTATTGTAATTATTATTCAATAGTTAACATTAGTATAAGGTAGCAGTCTAACTGCTTATAGGTCCTCCAGTGGTCAAGTAGTCTTCGTTCTATGAACACTGGGAGTTCAGTTGTGGGTTCACATCTCACTCAGACGGACTGGCCACATGGAGTTTTCTGGGTTTTCTCCATGTCTATATTGCCTAAATAGGAACCAATTTCCCTTAAAAAGACCTCCCAGAAAGCATCCCCCCTAGGCAGATTACCCAAGTGTTGCATTGCCACAACTAACTAAACAAACAAACAAAACAAACTAACTGCTTACTTTTAGAAAAGATTTTCTTTTATCAAGTAATTACTACAGTAATAGATTTATTAGCCAAACTATAATTCAGAAATTAATATGATTATTATAGAATATTTGGGCTTTGTTGTTTGTGTATATCTAAAATGTTGTTAACAGAAATAAAACAGAAAAAGCAATATTTTACTTCTTGAGATGGCATTTACAAATTGCATACCACTTAATTATCTTGCTTTCGGTTGCCACTCCAGATGTATATAGTATATTGTACAGTGGGTTATACATAGGTTTTATTTTCATCCTTGCAATTTTGTGTGATGTTAATGCTACTACATGTTATCCACCCAAAATTACAGTAATATTATAATTATAAAATTTAAATATGTTATGCAAATATTATATTCTATCGTAAGAAAGTAAGAATATCAAATTTGTATATAAAGTGGTACCTTGTACTTCAAACAACTCTAAATTTCAACATTTCAGACTTCAAATGCTAAATTCCACAAAAATTCTCTTTGGAGTTCAAACTGCACACACCAAGAATATAATCTCAAATGTGCAATAATGTGCTAAATTTCACAATTTTTAATTAAATCGCACATCTTTGTTAAGGACAGCTGTTAAAAATTACCAAAAACTTTGTTCAACCAAATATCACCTTTACTTATTAATCATGGTTTGGTATCAATTTTGCAACTGACCATTCAAAAATATGAAAGCATAAAATTTTAAATTTTATTTTACCAAGTTTATTAAAACAGAATGACAGTGTTATAAAGTGATGATAGAGCTCTAGAACAAGATTTAGTATTCTAGAAAGCATTCATTAAAAATTAAAAAAAGATGAGATATGTAATAAAATATATGTTATCAGGGTCATCTGCGTGTAGTGAAACCATCTTTTTCATAATTATATAATAAACATCAATTATAAGATTTAGTGCAATTTATTTTTGTTTGAGTTATACAAGTGTTTTAAAATTTCAAATTAATGCATGTAATCTTAATATCTACTGGAAATGACAGTAAAATCTACTAAACTCGCATTATTTAACTTTAAGGCACTGTATATATAAATTCTAATGTAATATGAATTAAACTTTATTCTTATTATTTCTATAGATTTTTGTATTAAATGTAAAACAGAAAATTGGATTTCGCATAGGTTATATATCTATTTTGTATTGTATAATTGCATATTTTTTTAGAATATTCTTTATATATTATGTTGTCATAAGTATATGTTATATAATCTGTTATCGATTGAGGAAAATCTGTCAAATCAGTATGCACATTTTTATAAGTAAAATTCATAAAAGATTATTTAACTTTAAAAATAAATATGGTGAGTAAAATTATCCTAGATTTGTTAGAAAAATATTGATGTTAATAAAGATATTATTTTCACATATAAATGAATCAAAAAGAGTTTTTAATAAAGCTTTTTTTTTTAATGCATAATTTATAAAATAAGGAAAATAATAATGTGCATAAATTGTGGCTTTGTGAACATTTAAGTCCACAATGAGAGCTGTCCGGTGGCAAAAGATGAGCCTAACATAACTAGATTAACTTAACCCAAAAATTTCTAAGCTGACCTGGTCTCAAATCCAGATCTCCAGAATAGTAACCTGCCTTCACCATCTGTCATCTTCTGTTTATGTAATAGAAAATAATAATTTATGAAGTTAGATAATGCAAATATCACTCATGTATTCTCATATAGGATAGATTGTAATTATAAATTATCAATAAAAAAAATTTTTAAATTATGTTGTTGTTTACTGAAAAATATGAAAAACTATATGACTGAAAAAACAAAGGTGATAACTAATAGATCACACTGACCTTGTGACTTTGAAAATGTTAATGTTCATCAATTTACAATTGCTAATCTCTCCAAGATCACCTGAAGATGGTTTCAGAGAGACTGGAAATGTTAGTGTTCGTCCACTTACGGCTGCTAAAATCACAAGGTTGGTGTGATCTATTTAAGAGAACAAACAAGTTGCTAAGTGATATATTTTAAAAATAGCTTAATACACTCCAATTAAACTAACTACTGATATACCTATACAGTAGACCCGCAGTAATTCGGCCACTGTCTAATCTGGCACCCCTTATAATCCGACATGCCTGTATGCAGCTCGGTATGCAATGGACTGAAGAGAATGGTGCAATATACTATAAACTTTTACTTCTGAGGAGACTGAGAGACAAGGCCTTACTCTCGCATTTAGCCAGTGTAAAACAAGAGAAAATTGACGAATATTTGCATGCACCATAAATTTATTTGTTTATCCATTTTCAAATTAAGATCATAAGTAGTATGTACTTTGGAAATACTTACATATGTTGTATGTAATTGATTGACATCAATATGTTTAGTTATTATTTTTTTGCAAGTGCTATAGTGTTAATGACGTTAATTTTATAATAAACCCTATGCTATCTATTGTGTTGTTTAATTCACTAAGTCCCATATCATATATTATGTAGTACATATAGATTTGATCTTACCATTTTTATAAGTATGTAATTTGTCAGATTACAAGTTACTCCTTGTCAAAAAAGTTTCAGACTATGAGGGGTCAGTGGCAGTACTCTATAGTCCGACAAATTCAATCATCCAACACCACCTTGCAAAACGTTTGTCGGATTACCCGGGTCTACTGTATATTAATAAACCTATCATATGTATAAAATAACATAGTATAATTTAACTTGTACATGTAAGTAATATGAGTACTGCTTAACAAAACCAAAAAATATTTGTTAAATTTTATTCAATTTTGTTAAATTATAATTGTAAATAGTAACAATAATTTTCATATAATGGAATGGACGTATCATATGTATCATACATTAACAGCCTAATTTATATTTGTTTAGAAGTACAGTCGACCCCCTATAATTACGATTCCTATAAAACTACGAAAAAATTGCTACCGGTATCCGTAAAAAATAGTAAAAGTTCCCTATAAACACCTCAAACGTCATCGGGCAGCCGAACTACTTTCCCGCCGTCCGTAGCGCCACGCTACGGAGAGATTTCTATCGTCTGGACAGTATTATATAAATTATATATAAATTAGGTACTGTACATATAATTATATATTAATTATATATAAATTAGGTACTGTATATATAATTATATATTAACTTATTGTATTGTAACTTTATTATAATTAAATATATATTTTTCACCGTCTAGCGTCACGCTACGGCGAGTTAGGCGACCTATCGTCTGTNGCTCTTGTAAATGTGCCAGGCTTCTGCATATTTTAGATGTTTTATATTTTTCACTTTTTGTATGACATCTGCCTTGCTCCATTTGATGTCGATCTCTGTTGGATCTGCTATCGCGTAATTGGCCAAAGCCGTGACTGGTTGTTTAAAGCTTACATTCTTTTTGTGCTCCTTCAATCTTTCATTTAATGATCTTTTAGTGGCTCCTATATAATATAACTCCTTATTTAGCCTCCTATCATACAACGGTATTCTGTATACACCTGGGATCAGCCTCCTGTCAACGGGTGTTTTGTCGTTTCTTAGCATTTGAAATATTGTCGTGTTTCTCTTATATGCTATTTTCTTGTTGCTTTCTATTCCTATTTTTCTGTAAATGTTACTTAACTGAGCCCTGTATTCCATTACAGTGAACTCCTTTTTCTCTCTTTTAACTTTACTTTTATTGCCTTCTTTTTCTGCTCGTATTAAGGCTTTTATTTTATTCTCCTTAATTCCTACATCTCTTGCTAGCTTTTCGATGTACTCCAGCTCTTTACGTGTATCATAAATCCTGCTACAATGAGTGTAAGCTCTTTTAATTAATGCTCTAAACGCTGCTAGTTTGTAGCTTGTTGGGTCATGCGAGAACCAAGGTATCAAATCCGGAACGTACGTCGGCTTTCTATATACTTTTGTATTGATTACCCCTTCTTCATCGACTTCGATCTCTATATCTAAGAAATGTATTCTTTTTTGATTTTGCTGCTCTAGTTCTAACTCAAGGCCATAATTATTATTGTTTATATCTCCAATAAATTGGCGTATGTCTGGTTTATTATTCCAAATAATAAATACGTCATCGACGTACCTAGCATACATTATCATATTATCTTCATATTTCTGCAATACGTTATTTTCCAGAGATCTTATTACCATCTCGCACAATAAGCCTGAGACCGGGCTACCCATTGGTACTCCTCTAAGCTGCAAATATGCAGTACCGTCAAAGGCGAAAAGTGACGAGAATGTAGCCAAATGCATATAAGAGAAACACGACAATATTTTAAATGCTAAGAAACGACAAAACACCCGTTGACAGGAGGCTGATCCCAGGTGTATACAGAATACCGTTGTATGATAGGAGGCTAAATAAGGAGTTATATTATATAGGAGCCACTAAAAGATCGTTAAATGAAAGATTGAAGGAGCACGAAAAGAATGTAAGCTTTAAACAACCAGTCACGGCTTTGGCCAATTACGCGATAGCAGATCCAACAGAGATCGACATCAAATGGAGCAAGGCAGATGTCATACAAAAAGTGAAAAATATAAAACATCTAAAATATGCAGAAGCCTGGCACATTTACAAGAGCAAAGAAAAAGGGCGAAATATAAATTTCCGTGAATCGAACAAAATAGCGTCGGCATGGAAAGCGGCAACTTTAAAATTATAATAATGAGCATGCGCAATCGAGAAGAACGTGCAGTTTGGAATCTCCGTTATGCAAATTTGAAATATATTTCAATCGATAATTCAATCCTGATGAAGGTTTGTGAATCAGACCGAAAACGTTCGACAGATGTAAACTAGACTGCATTTTAAAGGTACAGTGAATTTTGGTTAAATAGTATTGCAGTTAGAGATAGAATGAACTCATGTCAGATAAGTGTCACATGTTACCAAGGAATTAATTAATGTCCAGTCATCTATAGTGTGTTGTGGTGCAATGGTACAGTATACAAAAATGCATAAATATATCAATGATTATTAGAGTTTTGCATTAAAATCATTTTGATATTTTAAGTATTTTTTCATATAAAAATATAATGGGAATCATAGTTAGAGTGCCTTTAGTTTTGTGTATATGCAAAATTAAAAAATTATGGAGCATTGGCTGACAAAAGAGTTTTGAAGAAAAATGTAACAAGTACTTGAAATGTTTCTAGTGACAAGAAGATCAAAAAGGTAGATACAAATGAAGGTACAAATCCAGGCACTACTACTACTTAAAATATTGAAAGAAAAAATTTTAACCCTTTACATTAATAGCCAGTTTGAATTAAGTATTAATATTTGTTTTCCATTATTAATCTTTTTTTTTCTTTTGCATTATTTCAATAAGTTGTTTTTGGTGTTTATATTTGCTGTTTTATCCATAATCGTTAAAAATAATAAAAATGTTGGGACCCCCTGATCTAGAGCAATGAAAATGATCTAGATCTATGCAAAAATTCCTGATGAACTTTTGTGTATACTTGCAGATAAGAAAAACATTAAGGAATATGAAATTATTACATGAACTTGTGAAATGGCTGTAAGAACTTAATTCCCATTTAACTGTTAACAAGCTAATTTTCTACAAAAATATTAACTCAATTTAATATTTTTTACTTACCATAGGAAATTGCCAAAAAACAATTGCATAAATAACTGTCATGTTTTTCCCAACATTTGAATATTTCTGGAATATACAAAAATATATAAGTATTTATTACAAGCAATTTAAAAATTTCAAAACTATCAGATTAGAGTCATTAATCTGATATTTTTGTAAAATCTAAAAATTTCTTAAAATAAGATCACCTTATTAAAGGTAAAATTTGTTTAATATATTTAAACAAGTATTTTCCAGTCAACATTTACAAGCAGTCTGAATGTTTTTGAACATATCTAAATATACACATTTTCTTTTTTTATCCAAGATAATTATACTTATTTATCTACACAATAGAGATAATGCCATAAGGCAAAGAAAACGTCCCTCATATATAACAGTAATAAAATAATCCATTTAAAAAAATAAAAACAATAATAAATAATAGATAACAATAAATTAAAGTAAAAGGATAAAATACAAACAGTATGAAAAAGATAAAATATGAAAGGATAAAAGAGGATAAAAATTACATAAAGTAATTTTTATCCTCTATTACTCAAGGATGAGCATTGCATTCACTTTTGTTTTAAAATGCTTGTAACTTGGGCTTCTTGGAAGTTTTGTGGCCAAACTCTTCTCTATCTTCCTTTCCAAGTATCCTCTTCAGCAAGATACTGGAATTGAAAATAATAGTTATTGTTACCGCTCTCAGAGCCACCTTTGTTTTAGTCATGTAGGAGAAGTTAGCACAGTGTTAACCTGTAAGCAATTGTATGTCTTTTTTCACATTCAAAGCAGTACAATTCTGTGAGGTTAGCCAATCGGGTGTAAGGTGTCATGACAGTCGAGTGGTCATTACCGTCATGAGGGCGCAGAATGACTCACCAAGACAGGGTTACCATTAAAAACCCATTTAATAAACATACAAATTTCCTTACAAATTCCTTGATTGACAAGGTAGCACCACAAAATGTGCGGAAAAAGTCCAAATAAAATTCGAAAAGTTGTCTTCGTTACTTGTGGATGGACACTGATGGTGAAATACTCCGTAGGCCCCGGGGCATTTATCATGGCTTTCAGTGGCTTCTTGTTGGACGAACTGAAGAATCTGTAGATTGCTAGGAGGCACCCAGAGAACAATGTTTCCACAAATTCTGAAATGTTCTTTTGTTTTCCAAAGATCTGGAGCACGCACGTCAAGGAGAAGAAACACTACGCATCCAAGATCCCCAAATGTCCTTGAAATGCTGGTTTTATGGAGTTTTTCCCCTAGTCTCCTCTCCATTGGTCTCTCACTGTCACCTGGTAACAATTTGAAACCCAATGGAGGGCGCGGGAGAGGTCAGCATCACGTCTAAATATGATTCCTCTTTCATCGCTTTTTCTCGACTTTATTTCTTTCCATTGTTTAACTAATTTACACAAAAATTTCCATTGTTCGATTGAGACATCTAATCCTTTCCATTCACATCTGAAAAGGAGCACTTTAAATTTCCAATTGATACCCTTCATTTGGACCCAACAGTTGACCCTTGTTCAGGTCCTCACAATCTAATTGTGAAATGATATTGTACATACATACTAAACATGGAATGTCATGAAATGATTCTGAAATGGCCTGATGAGAAGTGAGGAAGAAAATGTAGGCTCCTTTCTCACAGATAATTAGAGTGAGGATCTGCATATGAAAATTATGGAAGTATTGAGAAAGAAGCCACATCCTTCACAGGCAACATCAGCAGAAAGAGAAAAGTATGCATATGCCCAAAACAGAAGAATAGGGAAACAGTACCAATGTGTGTAAAATGTATTGCACTAATCTGCAGATACCACATAATAAGAATCTGCAAACAATGCCATTTTAAAAATCCATATACAATCCATATATAATAAATATATCCACACAATCCATATACAATAAAAATCCAAAACAGATTCAAAACTTGAATAGAAATTATAATTAAGTTTAACAATAATTTCAATGTCATGTTTCTGTTTTTATCATTCTGATTGATCCGACAAGATATCAATTTTCTGTTTCTATAACCAAAATTACTTTTAATGTATTCTAACTGAAATAAAGTAAATTAAATATTAGAATGTGTATTATTCATAACAATATATATATTCAAATTTATCAAAACAAATCATTAAGAATATAAAAATACATAGAGTGAACATGGTGCTCACCCTTGAGGAATGATGTGACAAATCTGAAAATGGGGAGCATTGGGGCTAAAACATAAAAGGCAAAAGGCTAATTTGTACAAGGTAAGGACGTGTTTTAAAAAAATTGTAAATGCTACTAATGAGAAATTTTCATTAAGTCTGATCCACTTGAAATATGATACCATTCCCTCTAGCTCTCCCATTCCCCTGATCTTTAACAATCCTAATTTAATATCATCAATGCAAGATGTATAGAAACAACCTTGTCAAGTTTCAAAATTTTTGGTTCACCAGTCCTGAGATAAAATGCAAAGTGTATACCACACACACACTATTTATAGGAGTTTATGCAAAAAACTAGATGGGAGTCAAAATTTGACTGATTACCATACTTTCCCTATGTTATATCCCATAACAACCAGAAAATATGATTCCAGAGGTTTTCTATAAATTTCCTTATATTTATAAAATTATAAATGTAAAAACAGTTTCAGTATTTTTAATATTTTAAATAGTTAAACAGAAAAATAAATGACAGGAAATATTGAGGCAACCTGGGTGGTTTACATAAACAAGACATTTGTTAGGATGGTACACATAGTAAGATATTACTAGATAGGACTATACAATTATAATATTTGAAGACAAAACAATTGAAGCAAACAGTTTTGAGCTAAAGGTCTAGGAATCTGATCATAATCTAGCTACATTTCCAGAATCAGTATATAGAAGGTTGCATAATTTTGTTAATTAGAATATAAACTTTATAGAGGGAATTGCTGACTTTCCAAATTAGGTAAGGAGTAGCTAAAAATCAAACTGAGATATAATCAATTATATATTGAAAATTAGTAAAAAAGAGTGATCTAAGTATATTTTTGATGAAATAGCCCTGCACTGCTCCAGAACAGCAAAATGTTTAAGTATTTTTCTACATGGTGTTTAAAAGCAAGTTTAACATCAAATATTAACTCTAAATAGCCAATAGATTGAACAAAAAAAAGTAACTGTTATAATAAAATTAATCCTATTCAACTTCATCCACAAACTCATCTAGAAGTTAAAAACTCAACTTTCACATGTTCTGAAGAGTATTTTCAGAAAGGATGTTTTAAAATCATAACTACAAAAATTTGACACTAAAATCAAAGAAAACATTCCAGTGGTATCTTTAAAATGCAAAAGTTCCTGATTAATCTGTTTTACAACAAATATGAAGTTTAATCATTAAATTTTATTGGACTGCCCAATCTACTCAAAAGACCTATTATACCACGAACTGAAGTTAGTATAGTGTATATTAGAAATTGCCCAATATACCCTGCATTCTGATGTCCCAAAATTTGCATCCTATAAACAGAGCAATAAGTGGCACAATGTAACTGATCTGTATTGATGTTTTTAACAAGTAGCATTAAGCCAGCCTTCAAGACTATTAAATAAAATATAGCTCTGAAAAACTGAGTTATCCATAACCAAAGGTTTAATATAGTAGATAAGATCAGATAAATGAGATGGCTATCTTATTATAAGTGAGTAATACTAATCTTTGTCCTCAGTGAAATATTGCAGCAGTTACTGTATAGGTCATCTGATATGCAGACATTCTAGTTTGTATAAAAATGATCAAATCAACATATCTGTCAAGAAGGTAAAAATTATTTTATCATCATCTCATTCAATTTGATTATATTATTATTTTTAATGTAATTACATGTATGGCAGCAACATGGGCAGATAAATAGGCATGGCAACAGCACAAGTCAATGCAAAGCTAATAATATACCTAATTTAACAATTTTCAAAAAATTGAACAAACCAATGATAAAGTCACTATAAAATCCTTGAAATAATCAATTATTACATAAAAGATAAAAGTTACTTTATTGTATGAATTTATAGTTATTTTTGACATGTAAAAAAAACAGGAATTTATTGGATTGCATATGAATTTTTATCGGTTCAAATGTAACATTGTAGATGTTCATAATTTCATACAAGTGGAAATTATAAATAATGTGGAAAATGAAAAAAAAAATTTCACAAGATCTTCAAAAAATATACATTATCCACCTGAATTCAAGCAAGGAATGAAGGCAAATAATCAGTCAGATTTCTGTGTCACAGAGAGCAAGTATTGGTGTGGCATATTTTTTAAGGATAAAATGCAATAATTTATCCAAAATTTCTATAAAACTTATAGGACAGTTTCTTCAAACAGAGTAGGATTATGCGATATGCTTCTTGTCTAGTCTTATGTTCAAATTTGCGAGCGTTAAGATGGCTTTTTCTTTTCCGCTAGACTTATTACACCATCAATGAAATGGAGGACAAGCTTTAGAACGACTTTTTATTTATTTGAGTATGCATTTGAATTTGTTGAACCTTTTCTAAACCTTCAGGTATTTCAATTTTAAAAAAATTGCTTCTCTTCTGTTGAATAAAAATGCTGTGCTTCTCATGGCAGTCAATGTATTAATAAATTTATTGTTTGTAATTTTACAAGTTATTATTCACGCAACACCCTAAGCCTCTATTGTTTTAATAAGTGAAACTCAGCAAAACAATAGAGTGTTTGTGAAATAAAGTAAACACCATGAAAAGATGTCTAAAGGAAAGAAAGTGTTTATTATGTTGAAGAACAAACTAGAAAAATAACACTGTTTTTTATTTTATACTAGCAGATAAACCCAGCGTTACTTGGGCAAAAAGTAATGATAGCGAAGATTAAGATTATTACATTATGGCGAAGATTAAGATTATTACAAGATAGCGAAGATTAAGATTATTACAATCTTATCCATTTTCACAGAATGCAAGAATTAGGTTCCCCTGTTTCCAGACTAATTAGAAAATTTTTAGATGGGTCTAATATTATGTTCGATTTCCCGCAAAAACACAAAAAGCCACATCTG